TGGTGATGGGATGGTACAGTGGCTAAGGCTGAGGTTCTGCTGTTAGATGAACGAGGGTTTGAAGCTTGTGCTGCCGCTGACTCACTATGTGACCTTGGGCAACTTATTTTACTTCTCTGAGCCTTGGTTTCCTTTCTGTAGAATGGGAATAATAACAGTACCTACTAGATAGGGCTATTGAGAATTTAACTGACATGATGAATGGGAGGTGCTTTGCACCTGCCTGCACAATGTAGGAGCTTGATCAACGTTACTTGCTGCTATTAATTCATCTCCATCCCTTGCCTACGCCATTGCTGTAGTCGCCTCACCACCTTGTTCCCGGGAGATTGGCAATATAAACATGATCATTCGACTTCTTAGCTGAGCGTCTTTCTCTGGCTTTCCATGATCCACCAGAGAATGGCACAAGGGCCCCTTCATGAATTGGTTCCTTCCACCTACCTCCCACCCCGCCTTCCAGCTCTGCACCCAGTGCACACAGTCCACGCTCTGGCCTCAGCTGCTCACGCCAGGATCCCAACGTTTTGGGACCACCATGACTTTGCACTTGCTTCACCATCTGCTTGTAATTTTTTTTTTTTTTTGAGGTACATGGGCCTCTCACTGTTGTGGCCTCTCCCGTTTCGGAGCACAGGCTCTGGACGCGCAGGCTCAGCGGCCATGGCTCACGGGCCCAGCCGCTCCGCGGCATGTGGGATCCTCCAAGACCAGGGCACGAACCCGTGTCCCCTGCATCAGCAGGCGGACTCTCAACCACTGCGCCACCAGGGAAGCCCTGCTTGTAATTTTTTATTCCTCTACTTCAACCCATGGTTTTACCTAAAGAACTCCTTTTCATCTTACAATACTCAGCTTGGGGCTTCTTTTTATTCTATCTATCTATCTATCTATTTATTTATTTATGGCTGAGTTGCGTCTTTGTTGCTGTGCGCGGGCCTTCTCTAGTTGCTGAGAGCAGGGGCTACTCTTCATTGCAGTGTGCAGCCTTCTCATTGCAGTGGCTTCTCTTGATGTGGAGCATGGGCTCCAGTACTTGTGGTTCGTGGGCTCTAGAGAGCAGGCTCAGCAGTTGTGGTGCATGGGCTTTATTGCTCCGTGGCATGTGGGATCTTCCTGGACCAGGGCTCGAACTCGTGTGTCCTGCACTGGCAGGCGTATTCTTAACCACTGCCTCACCAGGGAAGCCCCAGCTTGGGGCTTCTTATCTATGAAGTCTTCCAAGAGCCCTATTTTCCCCACTAATTCCCCCACTTATTCCCCCACTTACCTGGTCATACCTGTCCGATTGCATTTATTTCCCTCTATTACAACCATTTATTTGCATGCCTACCTCTCCTGTGGGACCGTATCTTCTTTGTACCTTTGTATTCCAGCATCCAGCATAGCTCTGATTCATCGTAGGTACTCAAAAGATTTTTGTTGAGAAAAAGACTCACAGACATAGAGAACAGACTTGCGGTTGTCAGAGGGGAAGGGGGTGGGGGAGGGATGGATTAGGAGTTTGGGGTTAGCAGATGCAAACTATTATATATAGAATGGATAAACAACAAGGTCCTACTGCATAGCCCAGGGAACTATATTCAATATCCTGTGCTAAACCATAACGGAAAAAATATGAAAAAGACTGTATATATATGTATAACTGAATCACTTTGCTTTACAGCAGAAATTAAAACAACATTGTAAATCAACTATATGTCAATTTAGAAAAATTTTTGTTGAATGATTGAACAAAACAAACCAACTTCTCTCAAAGGTCCCGACGGTGCCAACAGGTCTCTGGGACACCTCTGTCTTTGCTCAAGTCCCAAGCTCTCCATTTGTCCTAGACACACACCCCACACAGGCACATTCACCCCACGTGCACATACGTACATATACACATGTATACACACACGTGCACACACATACACATGTGCCTCCCCCAACCATTGCTCTCTCCTTAAACTTCAGTTTCTAGATCTGGACTGCCCACTGCAGTGGCCCCTAACCACCTGTGGGTCTTGAGCACTTGAGATGTGGCTGGTCTGAATTGACACTGGATTATGAAGACTCAGTGTATAAAAGAAAAAAAAAAACAGTATGAAACATGTCTAATAATTTTTATGTTGATTACTTGTTGAAATGACAATAACTTTATATATATTGGGTTAAATACAATATTTTTTTAAATCAAATTAACCTGTTTCTTTTGGCTTTTTCTCGTGTGGCTACTAGAAAATTGAAAATCACACATGCGGCTCACGGGATCTTTCTGTTGGAGAGCCGGGCTCCAGATGCTCAGGAAGCCGTAGGTCCCTTCTTTCTCCAGGAGGTGGCGAACTCTTCCTGCTTTTGACACCTCTGTTGCAGAAAAGTCTGGAAAGTTCCTGAGGAAACTGCCTGTGTAATATGGCAGATTTTGAACCCTAAATAAGGACGGGACCACATTCAGCCCTGCAGTGATGTCAGCCTATCTATGCAAAGGAGGTTTCAAAATAAATCCACAGCAAATCAATGAGCTAAGTGTCATCCTCCTCAACAGAATCGCCACCTGGTTGATAGGCTCCTAGTCTCTGTATCTAGCACATTGCCACACGTTCAATACAATTTCTGTTTTCCAGAGGTTTATACGCTCCCGGGAGCTCGCCCAGTGAAACTCCTGCACACAATTCTCCATCTCAGCCTCTGTCCCCTGGGGAACCTGCTAGTGACAGATTATGGTTGGAAAAGTAAATATGATTAGGCAAAATGTGCTCCGTGCCAGGTGTGCAGAGCCTATCTTAAGTGCAGGGGAGGAATGAGAAAAGGATGCCACCCTCAAAACCACCAGAAAACACAACTAGTTGCCCAAGTGCCTGAACTGAGGGCTGCCTTCCCTGCCTATCCAGGCCTTTTAGTTGCTCTGCTGGGAAAACTGAGGTCTCAGAGGCATCATCAGAGTGTTTCGGGGCCCCCGAAAACACTGCATCTGGTCCCCACCCCACCCCTCTCTCCTGGAAGGATTTTTTTTTTTTTTTTTTTTTTTTTTTTTTTTTGCGGTACGCGGGCCTCTCACTGTTGTGGCCTCTCCCGTTGCGGAGCACAGGCTCCGGACGCTCGGGCTCAGCAGCCATAGCTCACGGGCCCAGCCGCTCCGCGGCATGTGGGATCTTCCTGGACCGGGGCACGAACCCGCGTCCCCTGCATCAGCAGGCGGACTCTCAACCGCTGCGCCACCAGGGAAGCCCTGGAAGGGCTCTTAACAGTCATCAGGAGCCTCCTTGTTAGGGGAATCTGAGATCTTTTCTCCACTCTGGGCTGCATGAGATGCTGCTGGCCACCCCCTCCTTGGGTTTTGGGGTGTGTCCTGATCCAGGATCTGCTCATTTCCTCATCTTTCTTCCTGTTAATGTTTCCCCCCTCCAACCCAGAGAGAACATCCCCAAGCTTGGGCCCCAGCTTCCCTGTGGGGACACACGGCCCCTCAGAATGTCCTTCCCATACTGTGACTCAGATGTCCACTCCATCGTGAGGACAGCCAAGTCTGTACCCGTCATCCCACCGCCATGGAGCATTAGTGGGATGGGGGCTCAGCCGGATCAGAGACCAGGCTCTGCTGGGGCAGGTGAGCAGTCAGGTCCCATGGCCCTCTGGGGTTCACCATGTGCCCTGGACAACCTGCCTCCAGTTGTCATAGAATGTTCTGGAGCCCTGGAGCAGGAGCCCAGCCATAGTCCAGGATTTGCCTGGGACCACAGAGCCTGTAGGAGAGACCTGGCAGCCAGCCACAGCTGATGCCCAGATGTGTGTATCCCTGTCTGGCGGGCTAGGAGGCCCCACAGGAGACCAGGCTGGAGGGGGTGACGGTGGGACCCCTAAAGGGGAGCCATCATGGGAGAAGTGCAGAGTGGGGGCAGGGTGAGCAGAGTCACAGCTGGAGGAGCCGTGGTCACAGGACCCTCTCAAGGGAGCTGGTGCTGGAGCGAGACTGTGGCACAAAGAGCAAAACCCTATCAACAGGGGTCTGGAGAGAAGCCCCTGAGCCATCCCCACACCGGGACATTTGATGACGTTGACTTTACATCCAGTACCCAGACTGTCCCCTCACCTCTGGGTCTGCAGTTCTAATTGGCCACCAGGCAAGTGCTCTAAATGATGGCACACTCAGGCTGCCAGAGCTGGAAGGACCCTCAGAGGTGGGCTTGCCCAGGCTTCCAGGGGACAGAGGGTGAATGACTGTGCCAGCCAGTTGGCGCCAAGGCAGGGATTAGAGTGGACCCATGAGGCTTAGCCCCGTGCTCTTCCCCAAAAACTCTGGGGCCTCAGCCAGCCACTGTAATCCTCTGCATCCGTGTGCCATCTGAGGTTTCACCCTCAGCACGCAGGGGCAGGGCACAGGGTGGCCAGAGCCCTGCTGACTTCGACCTTCCTGTAAAATGGAGGCAGGGCGGGTGGGGGATTAAAAATCTCTGAGATCAACATCACGTGCTGCCCCCGGCCACACTCGCTACAACAGCCTTGTTCCCAGGAGTCTGGACTTTTCTGGTCCTGAGCCTGTGGATGGCCCCTGGGGTGATTGGCTCTGTGGGGGGAACATTGGAGCCCCTGCCCCATAGTCCTGATAAGTGGGACCCCTGCCCCCGGGCTCCCAGAATTCAAGAACGGGAGTCCCCTGCTTGGGGCTTGGAGATGTGGGGAGAGAAGGTGGAGGAGGGAGGGCAGGGCGACGTGCAGGAGTGGGGCTTT